TCTCAAACTTGAATGTCAGTCCACAAGCTTCTAAGTGCCATTCTAGCTTGCAAATAACTGCACTTTAGAGCCAATTACAGATAGGCTAACTAGATTAATAAGGTAGAATGCAAACAACAAGGGACTGATGCCAACCTGAAAACATTCTTGGTGAAGGATGTCTGAATTCACCTTCACAAGTTTTCTAGTTAGCATTTCAGATATATAATTGCAAAATTGGGTTTTAAGCACCTGGAAATGTAACTTAGCCAATGACCTTTATCTTTCTAATCAAGGTGAGGTACTCTTAGGCAGAATGAGAAATGTGCGACGAGCTATGTATTTTAAGTACTTTAAATAAGCTAAGATGATGGTGACCATTGTATGTTTTCCTATCTTGCAAAGTAAAATATGTTGAATTGGGTGTGTATTTCGAAAAAGATAGAATGAGATAAGGAAGTTGGATACTTAGGCATTGAAGCATAATCCTTAAGACACCTCTACCTATGGATGGAATATTTTTTCTACCATATACTATGGCGATTTTTGGTTTCTCCTCTTTTTAAATTGAAATGAATCAACTTTTAGTTCTTGCATTTGCTTTGCGATATTTTGAATTGATCCAAACCTTACAAGGAGTTTGATTTTTCCCGTATACAACTGATTTATTTTATGTGATACGCTCTTCATTTTGGAGTGTATTGGAACCCATGGCCATGGCGCATGTTAACAATTATCCATGTTTGTTATGACCAGAATATTTGAGTCTGTGGCTACTTTTGATTTGGATCATGCTCAAGTTGTCAATGGCGCAAACATTTACTCCTTTAGATTGGATGTTTTTCGTGTCATTGTTATTAGAAGCATCTTTTCTTTGTAGCAGACTCAGGTGGGAAGGATTCCCATGGCTGAAATAGGATACTGAAGCACAATTGGCTATCCTTTTGTGTTATCACTTTGTCCTTTTAGTACTGCTCTTCTTGCTATGAATCACACGACTGCAGTCTTCTGCTGGTCATGTGATCTTAGATAGATACTGTTAGTTCATGTTCTATCATTTCTCATGCTGAATAGCCTTTATTTGAAGGAGAATCCTGAAATTAGTTGATCGTATGACTTGCTTATTTTCATATGCATAAATTCTCTTTTCCCTGTTATATGCTTTTTGGTATAGAAGTTTCTTCAAAGACTATTGGCTGGGAAGATAATCGTGCTAATGAACAATAGTTCTTTACTTCAAAGGAAGATCGCATTTGGCATCATTAACATATGATCCTTCTTGTTCAACTCAATTCATTTTGGTTTACTTTGTTTGCACTTTTACATCTTTCTGAGGGAAAGCTACTTGTTATTCATCAGTTTGGAGAAGATATCGCGATATTTTCATGTAATATCAAGATATTGTAGTTAAAATAGTGTCTTTACCTTGCAGGCATTAAAACTTGTTTCTTTCCTTGTGGTACATTTTCTAAAGTTGCCAGCGCTGCAGCTGACAGGCATATATGTAAGTGGCTTAATACTCTGTCCAATTCTTTCTTGTCTAGTCATGGGTGACAAAATAAAATGGAGTCATCTTTTAGTTACTCATTTTCAGCAATCTTGTTTTGTCTATTTACAAGCAATCATAATTAGCGATTGTTATGGTATTTATTTTTGCAAGTCACTGCATGACATTAAGAACTAGCAGTTGAAGTGCTGTTCGCACTGTAAGAGCATATATACTATGTTTTGTGGTTAAGTTAAACTAAGTAGTATCTAAGAGATGTGAAAGAACTAGTTAATCCATCTTTTTATTAGGCGTTGGCTACTTATTTATTTGATAACCACGTATTAGCAACCTATTTGATTGCATTTCTCTCTTGTTTTTAAGAGAAAATAACAAATCGCATAACTCAATAGTTGACTAGGTCTTGTAAGTTAGAGAACTTGAAAATTTTGGAGATTGTATGTCAATCTTTAGATCAATATTCCTGTCATAAAATTTGAATTCTCTGTGTATAGATATCTTGCAACAGGTTTCTTCATTTTAAGTACAGCTATTTGTGCAGTGAACACTGTTCTTTTGGGTGATGCATCTAAAAGAATTTGAGCATTCAGCCAAAATTGATAAGGATTTGAGTGGAGTACCTTGGGGTCGGACTATATTATCTCGGGATTATAATCACTGGACTAGTTTATTACACTTGGGAGGTGGGATAAAATAATCCCACGTTTGATGGGATAAGGTGGGATATCGGCTTAAATCTATCCCGTGTTTGATTGGCGGTTTAAATTTATCCTTTATACTGCCAACCAAATACGGTATACATTTAATCCCACATCTTATCCTACCTTATCCGGCGTACCAAAAGGCCCCTAAGTCTATTATAAACCTACTTCTAAACTGTTATATAATCAATGTGGGACATTGTATATCTCTAACACGCTACAAACTGAAATAAATAAATAGAAGTGCATCTCTCTAATTTATTAATATCTTATACAAGTTTCACAATTTCAAGTTTTCAACGGTCACAGCGGAGGTCTTGGATTCAAGACTTACAACACCTATCAACAAAAATATTTCCACGTGTTTGGCATTAGAAAAAAAAATCAGGCCAAGTCTAAGGAGGTTATATACACCTAGAAATAAACAATTAAGTTTCCAGTAAATAATACGATTCTCCCCTCAAATAAGTTTTCAGATGAGACAATTCAAACTGCAATCTTAAGGTTATTGTTGAAGTAGTCCAAGATTGTTATAAATCCCTCTAGAAACTCGTATACAACTGATTTGAGACATATCTCTTACAATATCTACATGCTATTCTTTTATTTGATGTTTATTCACGATTTTGATACCATTTGGATCTCTCCTAAATGACTTTTGACTGTGTTGGATGCAGCTTCAGCAGATGCATGTAATGAATTAATGGCTTACTCATTGATACTGTCCTGCTGTTGTTACACATGCTGCATCAGAAAGAAGCTACGGAAAAAGCTAAACATCACGGTAAACTACCAAAACTACTGCAGCTGCATTTGTCCCTTTATCAGAGTAGATTCGCGGACTTAATATCCCTCTAATAAATAGGAAATGAAAAATAGACTTGCAAGTTATCACATTAGATTCGCAAACTTAATATTCCTCTAGTAAATCAGAAATGAAAAATAGACTTGCAAGTTGTTCCTGCAAACGCTCCATACAAAAAGAGAAATCCTCCTCTCCATATGAAAACGCCTATCTGAAGGGATAAGGAAAAGCTTCTGAAGGTTCTTTTTCTTCATCATGTTGATCCTTGTTTGAAGGTATTTGATTGACCACAAAATCAAATACAAGACCTGGTGTTAAACTGAATATCATTGAGATATGCTGCTGATTTTTGTTTCTTTTTAGGGAGGCATTATAGACGATTTTCTCTCACACTTAATGTGCTGTTGCTGTGCTCTTGTCCAAGAATTGCGTGAAGTGGAGATACGTGGGGCTCATGGTATGTTTTACTGGAATCCTCTACTCACATTTCCTTTTGTTAATGCCTTCAACTAGGGTGGAGCTGTTTTCCTGTATTAACAAGATCCAAACTGGAAATCTTAACACTATGTGTTGCACTAAGCTCACTCTTTATAGGTTCACGAATGATGCAAAGCTATATTATGCAGGTACAGGGAAGACGAAAACAAGTCCCCCACCTTCTCAATTTATGGAATCCTAGGAAATTACGATTGGCGTTTTAGGGCTAATTTTTTTAATAGAATTATGCTGAGTTAATGACTGATTAACTTGTCACTACTGGATTCATGCAACATGATAGTTTATGACTGAGTTTAGTCAACCGTTCTGTAAAGTAATTCTTAGTAATCCAGATTCAGCTTGTACAGAATATATTCTATAGTTTTCAACGGTTCATTGTCCATTACTTAAACTGTGGTTGACAAATCAGGAACTATCTCTATCTTTTTTTGACACCCGAAGACGCAACCCNGCACTAGCAGTCTAAATAGTGGAAAGATGAACTTAGCTATGCACCTATTTCACGTGAAAAGAAAGAAGGGGTTGTATTCTCATGTGATGTAAATGGGGAAATATTCTTGATATAATTCACACACATATTTTAACCAGTTAAAGCAAGTTATTTACTATAATTTTGAAGATTATTGTAGATAGTTGGTACCAGTTGTTGTATGTTGCCGTTTTTTAACATTCAACTGTAACATTCTAGGCAAATTTCAAGTCGGCAAAACACGAAAAAATAAACCTTAAACTTTACTAAAATATTTCAACTTAGGCGTAAAATGGACAATATTACTATTGAACTGAGTTCTTACCTTCATTTTTCTTCAGAAATCGAAACACCAATATGAAAAGATTCCTTCTCGGACTTTATTTTGATCCTAACGTCTTTCTAAGGGCTGTTGAGGGATTCCCTGTCAAACTAAAGAAGAAACCTAATTTCTTTAAAATTTGACAGATTACATGACTGATATAACTAAGATTAGATTAAAATAGATTTAACCCAAATTGACCCGTCTAAGGTTCGGACTAAAATGGATTAAAAGAAACCTAGCAAGCTGATTATCAACTAGTAGCTATTTTGAAGGTCTAAATCAGAAGTAATCAGTATAATAACAACAAACCGCTCAATGTAATCCCACAACTGGGATCTGGGGAAGATAGTGACTAGTGAGTATGCAAGCTTACCCCTATCTTGTGCACGTAGAGAGACTATTTCCGATAGACCCTCGGTTCAAAGCAAGCATGCATAATCACAACAGTATAGAGAAAGAAATGCAATAGTGCAAATTTACTATTAAAATAAAAGGAAAGACGCTCAACTGCCTACTAACTTTATGCCCTAATTCTCGTCCTCCACACACTCCTTGATAGGTCATGTGATATCTTCGGTTAGCTGAACTTGCGCCATGTCGTGCTTAATCAGCTCTCCTTATAATTAAAAACACTAAATAAATACTACATTATCTAATCAATAGTGATTGTAAGCCACTCTTCATTCTTCAATAAAGATCATAAGTATTAACCTCAATGGAGCTGACCCGTTTCTTACCCGCTAATCTTGACCCGCCCCAATTCTTCTCAACTCACTGTTCTGAGCAGAAAACATATCAAAACCTCAGCGTCGGAATCAAATTTTGCAGGAAAAAAAAAAATAAAAAATGGTGAGATTTGGAAGAATACTTCTAAAAGATGGAGCTGTTGGGATTAACAAAAAACTGTTAGAATATCTGGTCTGTCCACTTTCAAAACAACCTTTAAGGTCAGTTCTCATAATTTTTACTTATTGGAAATTATTTTTCTTTTCTGTACTGAGAATTTTGTGTTTAGTAGTTTTTTTTAACTCTGTTGAAGGTTTTGTGAGAAGACGAATTCTCTAATCAGTGATTCCATTGGTGTTTCTTATCCGGTGAGTGATTTGTGTTGCACTGAATTCCTAAATTGTTTTTGATAATTGAATTTCATTTCCACTGTGTCCTAATGTTTGCTCTTTGTATTGGCCGCTAAAATCACTGAAAACATTTTTGTACAATCTTTGCTATTATTATTGTTCCTCAAGCACGGAAATCATAGCATAAATTAGAATAAATACTTACTTGCAGGCAGTGTTTTGCACCAAACCAAACAGTATAACCTTACTAGTTTGAATTAAAGTAAAAATATGTATCAATTAACCATAATAAGTGATAAACAGTGTGTCTGAAAGACACATGTCTTGCATTTACTGGTTTAGTATAAACAATACGTGCAGTTAAGTTTTTACCATTAAATTATGTCGGGGTCCTGTATGTAAATAATTTGTATCCATATTCACAGCTCCGTTATAACCTCCTGAGAAATGATTTTCTTGAGCCAAGGTCTATCGGAAACAACCTATCTACCTCCACAAGGGTAGGGGTAAGTTCTGTGTACACACTACCCTCCCCAGACCCCACAGTGTGGGAATACACTGGGTATGTTGTTGTCGTCGTATTCACAGCTTCGTTATAGTTAGACTATCTTTATCATACTGCAATCTTCCTCCTTCATCTAGTGTGGGCACTAGCTATGCTTTGCGAAGCTTTGTTAGGCAGGTTACTATGATCTATAATCGATTAATATATCTTTTACAACAAAAACAACTATGCCTCTATCCCAAACTAGTTGGCGTTGCCAATATGAGTCCTTATTGACCATGTTTCTTCATTTAATCAATATATTCATTTTGAGAATAAATTTATTCCTTGCCCATTCCTACTGTTTAATCAATGTCTGAGGATGTTTGCCTAAACTATTTTGAACAATTCCTGAAGCGAAGAATAGAAGGGAAAAAAATTATGTTATCCAATTGGGAAAGAAACCTGATAAAGACAATTTCTAAGGCAAACCAAATGTAAAGAAACATATTTTTTTTATTTTTTTTTGGGGGGGGGGGGGAGTGAAGTCAATAAAATTAAACTGCTTGATAAAAAGTTCAAGGAAGGGAATGAGTAATATTTAATTATTTAATTATTCAAAAGGAAAGATAACTTTAAGAGTTTGAAAATCTGAGGAAATTACTTGCCTTCAGTTTTAGTAGAAAGTTATTTCCAGTCAAATTAGTGAAAAATATTGATTTGAGAACATTTTCCTCAAGATATAATCAGTACAAACACAGAAACTTAAGAGGACATTTATGCCATATCAACTGGAGCTTTTGTATTTGACTTCACGTTTTACATTTTGTTGTTAGTCAAGTTTGTCATTTGCTTATGTTTCTTCCTTGTGTTTAATTAGATAGTCGATGGGGTACCTCGTCTTGTACCAACAGATGGCAAGATTATCGAGACTGATGATGCATTGATTTCTGGTGGTGATTTGCCTAAAACATGATGATCAAATAGGTAATTCCTAGCTCTATCCATTGACAAACAGCGAGGGAGTTCTTAAGCTGATGGAGGATGTTCAAAAAGTTATGTGAGTTAACCTCAGTTGTACCTCTTTATTTTGTCAACCTGTTCTTGACTGCAGTCCTAGTTGTAGCAATCTGTACTTATCAACGAGACTAATAAGAAGTGCTTCTACTTTATAAGTAATACCTTGAAGAGGCTAATTTTCTATTTTTCTTTCCCAAGCATCATCTCATTACCGAATTTTGAATATCTCTTTTCTAGAAGTAGTTTTATGCAAATCATTTTTGCATTGCAAGAGCCAAGAAGTTGTGTTTTTAATAAGCAATTGAAACATAGGACTAATAAAGCCTCGTGGTTTCTATATTTTGATGAATGGTTTTAGCCTTGAGTTCATGAATTGTCTTGGCATTTGGAACACAGGGCTTAAACTTCATTATACTGGCATTGGGTTCTTTTTTAAATTAAAAAGCGTAATATCAGCATTTTCTAGAGCTCACATGTTAATAGAAAGACCTGGTTACACGTGTGCACTCTTGAACACAATTGCGGGTGCTTGTATCTTTGCCTTGAATACTTACAGAAGGAGCAATTGGGGGACACTACCAGTTATTCTCTTATGTTGCATCTTCCTGTCAGCATTTTATCTATAATCCGAGAGGCTGAATCCAAGCCTTCCAATTTTCCTATACTTTGACATAGAGATAATAGATATAATACAGAGAATGAATATGTATTGCCGTTAAAGTGTTGCTTATCAAGTGAAATCAGTAGATTTGGTGTTGCAACTCTAAAAACTTAGAGAGAATTTTGTCATTCAAATCTTGAAGTGGCAGTTAAAAGATGCAAATTACGTTTGTAGTTGAAGAGTTATGCAGTATGCATTAGGAATATCATATTTTTTACCTCCCTTACAAGGTTGCGTCTCAACTCTTCCCGTGTATTGACTACACTCCTACCAGAACATATATTATCTGCAAACAAAAGTATATTGGGAGAGCATCGCTTTAATGGCTTGTGCCCCTGTAGAAGATGAATCTTATGTGAAACAATTGGAAACACCGTTTTAAGAAAAGGCAATAATGCTGCTAGATTCAAGTTTTTGTACAACAAAAATAGACTCTTTCAACTTCCTATGAATGAGGGTACAAACATCTTATGAACCGTGTCACTCTTGCGCTTCATCCTCTATTTCTGTGAATCTTGGTGTTGTTCACTTAATGTAAGCTCATCATTTTTTATTACTAATAAGGTTTTTACTTTAAAGGTCTGTGAAACTAAAAGATATTTATGTTCAAATAATGATTACGAAACGATATTGTAGTATGGTCAATGAGTTCAAATTTCAGTAGAGACAAAAAAGTTAGGTGATTTCTTCCGATCTGCCTAAACATTGCTGGACAGAGTTACGTGGTACCTGTGCTGGTGGGAAGTAATAGATACCAGGCATAATAGTTGAGGTTTGAGCAAATTGGTCAGGATACCCTTGTTGTAAATTAAAATAAAAAAGAAAAAGAGATTGCAGTGCGGGAAAATGGTGTGTTTTGTACACTTTGAAGTTTCTATACGACCAATTAAACTCACTATAATACAGGTGAAGAGATGTCTCATGAAGAAATAATAATCAAATAATAGCTAAAAGTGGAAAACAGAGTCATCACTAGCGTGCAAACGAAGGAATTCAACTGTGTTGCATGGTTTCCTGTAGGTGTAGATGATGGAAAAGCTGGAGTTGTCCTAGCAGTGCCATTTCCAATTCCTCTGGTGGCCTCAGGCTCCACACTGTTAGGAGTAGACGCTTCAGTAGGCTTTTGCTTGTTGATCGGCAGAGTAGTACTTTTGGATTCCTTAGAATCATAACCTGTGAAAAAGGAACCTCCATGTTAGACATGAACTGGTTTTGGAAATCGCCTTCTTTTTGAGGTTGAGTATATATCTTATGTTAAAGGTGGAATATAAACTCACAATCAGATGACTTCCAGCCCAAAACCATCTTTTCCCGGTCAAACTCCACCCGGTAGCCAGTCATAAAATTTTCTGCAAAGGGGTCCTTGTATTAGTGTTATTTCTTTCATTTGGCATTCTTCTGTACATCAGACTCAAGATATAGATGAAAACAAAAACTTAAAATCTTCTTAACACTCTGGTATTGGTAAGATCTTTAATTCCTTGGTTGCAGAAATAAACAGAATTATTACTAGTAGTTAAAGATACTCACGTCCAATGATGTTGACATCCCCACTTCTGACAACAGCTAAACAATATGCTTTGGATCCGTCCTGAGGATTAAGGAGGTAATTAGAAATTTGTAATAGAGAATGCTCTAACCTACAAAGAGCAGATACCATCTTACCAGAAGCGACAATGTTATGATTGGATCAAAAAGGTAAAACTGGTCGCCACCTTTCAGTATCAAATTTACATCAGGATTTCCAAAGGCAGTCTGATTTGCACTGAATAGACAGATAGTGTTAAATTCTGAGAGATAATAAGGAATTGAGAGAGAGAATACAAATAAAGATTATATAAGCTGGTTTACCTTATGCCATAGCAGTACTCAAAAGGAACTTGGACAGTAGGTTGAATACGTTGCTCTTTTGCCTGGGAATTGAACTGCCAAATATACCAAATATTTTTAGTTGTCAAATATAAACAACAAAGTCTCCAACTAGTGACCTCCTGGCCGGAGGCAGATCCAGGTTTTAAATTTGATGGGTTCTTACTTGAACTTAATGTACTTTTGAAATTATGGGTCCAGAATTTAATATTTATTGAAATTTTAGCGGTTTTTCACATATATATTTGCCTTTTCTCCTGACTCACATTCTCTGTAATGACTGTGTAAGCTGGATCATTTAAGTATGTGAATGAGGTACCAGTGTCAAATATGGCTGTGAAATCAACATCAATGTTCTTGTTTTCCACGGTTATTCTGGTCAAGCTTATAGTGTAAGTTTGGCTGCATTCAGATAGAGAAAAGGAAGAAAATACATATTCAGTTTGAATTCCCACATCATATAAAATCAAGCTTGAAACAGAATCAAAATGCTGAACCCTGTGAATCAAGGTGAGTGCTTACTGTGGTTGTTCAAGATTGAATGGTGTTTCTCCTTGGCCTGGATTCCCTTTGTCTCCAAACTCTATTCTTCCAATTCCATCAGCCCCAAAGCACATGGAAAAGGAATTTGCAGCAAGACCTTTGCTGGCTAAAATGCTAGGAACAGATACACTGTCCATACCAAGTCCAAATAGACCATTGGGAGCCGCACCATTCAAGAATGCACCAGTTTGTTTCATCCCACACCTGAAATGGAACTACTAGTAAATATAGATTGTAGTGGACTAGAAAATGCATTGTGTAATGCAATAACGCCTTTGGCATCCTGGGGTCCTGGATCGGCCATTGAACCATGCTCAATAAGTGGAACGCATTAGCAATCCGCTCTTAGGTTGGGCAGTCAATAAGTGAATTTTACATTTTCTCTCACACCATCTAGTGTGCAGTTATTAACCTTGGGGTCGTGTGGTTTAACGACAAGTTATGCTGGGATTAGTTGTGGTGAGATTAGTTATTCTGGTATTATTTCTTATTGACTGTTTGGTATGTTATATTAATCCTGGGATTGTCAATTTTACTATTTTATCCTAGGATAACTTATCCCGGGATTACTATTCCACCCTCTGGCAGGTATAAGTTATCCCGGTACTATTATTAATCCTAGGATAACTTATCCTGGAATTACTATTTCATCCTCTGGTATAAGTTATCCAGGTACTATTTTTAACCCTGAGGTAACTTATCCCAGGATTAGTAACCAAACAAGGGATAAAGCGGAACGAAATTTTTATTCCGGGATTCTTTTTTGCTTATCCATCATACCAAACGACCCCTTAAATCTTCAAAAGAGAAATCAGAAGTAATCACACTCACCCCAGGGTAATTGGTGCCTCAACACTTTTTTGTTGAGTATTATCTGTTTGTAAGTGCAAGATGTCTTGTACCAGTACCCCTGAAGATGAGGTATTATTGGAGAGATATGCAACAACATAACCACATGCACTATGTGTGTATGAACATTGTCTTCTTTGTCCACACAGAGTGCCATTGCAGGGAACGATATTGCTTGTCGATGATGTATTAAGGTTGTAAACGTTGAGATCTATATGCTGTTTCAAAAGTACGGACAGTAAAACAAGTGTCTTTTTGTTATCATACCCTTCATTGGAGTGATTTAACTGTTTCAAAGTAATAAATATGCAAATTGCTATGTTAAAAGTTGACATACTCTTCCAGAATCTGTCACAAGTGAATGGGCGCAGCTGCTGCAGTTACATGGTAGCCAAAATAAGTCACTGCCAGTGTCAAGTGCCACCAGAAATGATTGCCCAGGTGTACCCAATGTCACATTTGCATAATGCAAACTGAAAATCACCAAACACATTTAGTTATCCCAAAGGGAAGAACATAATTGATTGTTGTACAACGTCAGTCATATACTGCAAATTCTGCAATTCTGAGTCAAATATCACAGCATGCTATTGCCATACTGGAGTTAAAAGCAGAAAAGGAGAGGAACAGAAAAAGAAAGAAGGAACCTACAATCCCAGAGAACTGAGTAGAACAGTTTTGTTTCCTCCTCCGGCGAATGTGACTGGCAACGGAGTAGGACCTCCGGTGCCAGCAAGCCGGCGACGCTTGATAAGGTGATCACGTTGAGTCCAAGCTGAATAATACTCAATGCTACCTTTTTGAGGCAGCTGATTAAGGTCCAAAATACTGTGCACCGGATCAGAATACCTATGGTGGATATCGAATCCGAATGTCCCAAACGCTTCATTTCTATGCAACTGTAAACCCAAAACCACCAGAAAAAGAACAGACACCATGGAGTTGCTAGTACAACTAAAATTATCCATTAGAATTACAAGAAAAAGCAACTCAATGGCCCAGGTTCAACTGCAAAGGTATTGTCAGCACGATTTTGTCTCTAGGAGTTCAATCCAAAAAGGCGTCTTAACACTTGAATTCCTGATTTCGCCTTATTTCCCAGTCTTCATAGAAATCTTTCAACTTCAACTGCGGAAAAGAATTCCTCAAAATATTCTCAATGGAACAGTGATAAGAAATGAAAACAAGAGTGGAGTACAACACATACTCCATATATATGTATGTTGGGGGATGAGAGACAAAAAAGGGAGGAACCAAGAATCAAAAGGGTGTTTGATAATTGAAGATATGAATAGAAAATATTGGGTTGACGAATTCGAAACTGGAGGAGGTGGAAGGTGAGTCTACCAACTGAAGCTTTAACTACAAGTTGTAGTAGTTTATTGTCAAATGGGGAATGACAGAATGATAGAGGGAAAAAAAATGTTCAAGTCTTTGTGAAAGCATGGATTGTTTGGACAATTACCTAGTACTGATTGGGGAAGGTATAGTGGGTTCCATGTTTTGGGTCCAGACATAGCGGGACCCAAGGTTTAATGTTGTTGGTGTATGAAGTGCAAAGAATTTGGAGGGTATTGGCAGAAACAAAGTGAAGTTTATAGGTTTAGGGTTATTGAATTCTAAGTTAATAATTTCTTAACATAAATATAAAATTTGAATCAAAATTACTAGGTTCAGTCGAGCTCTTATTCTGCATTTTAGCTTCGCCCCTGGGTACTTGTACTACCTACCAGAAGATCCGATACTGCAGTTTCTAAGCCATTCATGATTTCTCCTGTTTTGTTTTGTGAAAAGTATTTGCATGGCATCTTCTATATGCTCAATAAGAACAAATTCTTGTAGAAATACAGGGTACCTTTGTGATTCGGCCTTTCTCCGGACCTCACGCATAGCAGATACTTAGTGCACCGGGCTGGTGCCCTTTTTAAGAATAAACGAATTCAAGGTCTAAGTTTGTAAGTAGGAGGTACAATTGTGTTTACCAAGTACAATGCAAGTTTGTATTTACTACTTACAAAGTAGTAAATATATAATAATGATAATATGCACTCACTTATAATTTAACTAATTGAAGAAAGAAGCTCGAAAAAAATACCAAAACTTATTTCATTCGATGAGTCTCTTTTGCATTCATGGTAAATAGTAAAAGCCCCCAACCCGTAGGTTTAATTCCTACCGATTGTTTTTATAGGATCGAGAAATGATATACATAGAGTCAGTGTGACCTTGACTTAAAAGATTGGTTAAAAAAAGCTCTTTTTGTTAACCAAGACCTTTTGTTGAACTAAACAAAATGGAATAGATAAGACTCCACAAGTTTTGAATTTGTCGTTGGGAATTGAGATATTCACACAAGAGAGCGAAGAAGTGATAAACAACCTTAATTTATATGTTGCACGTTAGCTACCAAATATCTATCTTGTTAGGCAAATTTAGGATTTCTATAATATGGTACACCTAAAGAAAGGAGATAAGAAAGTATTAAGCAAGAATTTATCTTCGTTTCTCTAAGTAAATAACTCAACATTCAACCAAATGTAAAATTTAACCTTTTGGAGCATGGGGGCATCAGATAATATTAGATCAATTATAGAAAATACACACATAAAATACCTAGTTTGATAGAATAATCATTGGTTCAGGTGCCACATATTTTGGACAGTAAATCCGCCCAACAGATACTGACGCAAAAGAGTCTTTTCTTCCTAAATTTACCTTTATCTTTGTTGTATGTGGTAGAGCCACATGTACTTAAGGGGTGTTAATTGATACTTCTTTACCGAAAATTATACTATGTAGTTAGATAAATTCTTTTTTATATATAAATATTATATTTACTCCCTTTGGCTTCTTCGTGAAGTTAAAAAATATTTTGACACTCTTTAATAAAAAATCTGGCTCTATCACTATTTGTCGCACGTGAAATTGGAAAGGAAAACGGGTTGAGTCAGAAAAGTGGGAGACGACTTGAGAAAAATGGGAGACGACTTGATCACATGTTGCTGATTAGTACTGTATTGTGGGTCGGGCCCAGCCCGGGACCGCCCCGGGCCCGCGAGACCACGGGTCTAATGGGCCAAACGGTCTGGTTCAAACGGGCCGGTCTCAAACGGTCTTTGAGGCCCCCTGTGGGTCGGTCCTACACAAATAGACCGCGAGCCGAGGACCGTTTAGCCCGAAACCGGCAGGCGGGCCTGTGCCGGTTCAACCGGGCCTAACAGGCCAAACTGGCCCAACGGTAATTTTTTTTTTTAAAAAAAGACCAACGGCTAGAAATTTAAAAAGTAGCCGTTGGCCCTTAATTTCAGCCATTGGGAAGTTTAAAAAATAGCTATTTGACCCCCAAACTTTGTTTTAACCCCAAACTTTTTATAATTACATTTTTTCCCTATTCTCAACTATAAATACCCCCTCATTCTTTCATTTTTACTCACAAATTCATCAATCTCTCTCTAATTTTCTTCTATAACTGCTTACTGTATTATTACAATTTCGTGAAAATTTGTGAAGTTGGTGAATTGAAGTCTTCAAGTCTTCAACGATATTCAATTTTCAAGAAGTTGTTCGTCAATTCAGTTAACTCATTCCAACTCTTAAGTTTTAATATTATAGTTTTGTGTGTTTTATTTAGTATAATTATAATTAATATGGACTATTCTTTGAAAAAAATATTTGGGGGTAAGGGTAAGGGAAAATCTGAAATTGGTGAATCTAATCGCCAAGCTACTACTCTTCCCCCGGCTCCCCGACCCAGACCTGTTACCCGTCCTCCTCCACCTGTTATTCTTGATAGTGATAACCCTTGTTTTCAATTTTCCGATAGTCAATTTTGCCATGATGTTGCACCAGGTCAACAATTAAATGAAGAAGTTATGAATGCTCTTTATCCTAATCAAACTATCTTTGAAAATATAGAGGAAAATGATGATTTAGATGAAACGTAACCGGATTTAGATGATACACCTACTAGTCCTGTTAATAACCCTACTGATGCTCCACCTGGCCCTCTTGTAATAATCCCTACTTTTAATAGACAACCTTCTAAACGACCCAAAACATCTCTTGTTTGGCACTTTTTTACTCAACTAAGAGAACAAAATAAGGCTAAGTGTAAAACTTGTGGGTCTTTGATGGCTCATAAATTTACTGGAGACCGTAGCGGTACGGGTAGTTTGACTAGACACATAAAGACACACCCTAGAGATAAAGCTAGATATTTACAAATGAAAGTTGCGTAAGAGGGGACAAGTGTAGATAGTACGGTTAACCCTAGTACAGGGTCAAATCTAGTTCAACCGGGAATTAACACTATTACCGGTGACATTTTATATCATGATCCAAATAAAGATCGTGAAGAATTGGCAAAAATAATTACTGTTATGTGCTTACCCTATAGTTTTCCTTCTAACCCTCATTTTGTGCATTATATTAGAAGAGTTTTTAATCCTACTTATAAAGGATGGCCTCACGCAACCATAAAGACCGATATTTATAAATATAAACATGAATATGAACAATATTTGCGCTATTTATTTACTCATATAGATTGTCGCAGATTGCTATTACTACTGATATTGGTAGAAGTGGTAATGACTGTGATTATCTAACTATTACAAGTCATTGGATAGATGAGGACTGGATAATGCAAAAGCACATTATTGCTTATAAAATAATTAATTCACGTCACACAAGTAAGTTTATTGTTAACACAGTTGCAGATATTTATAGATATTTTTGCATTAGAGATAAAATTATGTCAGTTTCAATGGATAATGCTTCTAGTAACACTAACGTTATAGGCTTGCTTACAACTACACTAAATTCTGCATTTAGTAATATTTTTCATGTTAGATGTATTTGTCATATTTAGCATTTAATCGTCGGTGATGATATGAAAGTTTTAAATGTAGAAATTGAAAAGGTTAAAATGTCTCTTAATTGACTTTTTTATTCAAACCGTAGAAGTAGACTTAGAGATTATTTTAAAAAATGTGATGAATTTGGCCTTAGAGAAAGAAAAGTTCTTAAACCTTATCCGACTAGATGGAATTACATGTATGAAAGTTTAGTTGTTGCATATGAATATAGGAACCCAATAAGCGCAATGTATAATGCTCGTGTAGGTGATGATGATGATGATGATGATGACGACGACCACCTTACAAATCAAGATTGGACTAATGTTAAAATGCTTGTAGACTTTTCAGTGGGTAAGCTTAAATTTATTCGGGTATTGACTTTATTAGGAGGAAATTATGTCAACATGATTCAAGAATGAGTATGAGCATCATGTTAAAGAGTTCTAACTTAATCCACGAATTGGATGAATCCTATAAAATTGATAAGTTGGGTTATCATGAGCACGGGTGTACAAAGGAAACCGACAAACCGCATCAAACCGATATTTCGAGTCAAATCGAGAGAAAAAATGCTCGATTTGATTTAGTTTGATGTTCGAAAAAAAATCCGACCATGATTGGTTTGGTTTGGTTTTAACTAAAAAAAGTCAAACTGAAACTAAACCAACCCGACATTACATGTATAGAAGTTTTTAATATATTTAATACATAAAACAATATTTGTTGTAGCATAGTTTATAAATATTTCTTAAACTTTTTCATACTTTTATCTTTTAACGTATTATTTCAAGATTGAACTTATAATTTTTGAATGCTCCAATAAGTTTTATAGTACTTAAATGTTCAAATAAATCCCAAACCAAAATCAAATCAATATTAATGCTAACAAAAGATATTCAATTTAGTTGTATTAGAAATGACAATAGTGTTGGGTATCTATTTTTTAGTTTTTTCATGGTTTAGATAAATTGTATAAGTTACTTTTTTTAGTGTTTAGTCATGTAAATAATAATACTTATTAGTCGTATTTTTTTTAAACTTAGTAATTTTAGATTATGTTCATTTTATTATGGCTTATTAATAATATTTATTTTATTATCTTTATTGTTGAATATTTTAGTAAAATGCCATGACTCATATCATATTTTATGTTATTTTCTTGAAACATACCTTATATAGTTCTATCTTACTAGGATTAAAGAAATATTCGGAGCACAAATCCTATGATTTATGCTATAAAGACTTTATGGGAAAAAAGTCGAAAAAAATCGAAAATCCGAAAAATCCGAGATTAAAAAATTTGACTTTTATTGGTTTGATTTGATCTTTAGATTTACTAATCCGACACAATTGGTTTGATTTGATAGTTGAAAAATCCGAACCAATCCGACCTATGTACAACCGTAATCATGAGACTTGAGAATTAATGCAATGGCTATTAAGTATGTACCCTTTGAATTTGATGAAATGCCTGAGGAAGATTTCTTGTGATTTACTGATAAGTCTACCTAATCTTACTCAGTCCAATTACTCAGTACAATCTTAAATAAGAAAGTTATGGTATTAAATGTGATGTTTATTTCTCAGTATGACCTGTATGTTATTTTGCTCAATCTTTGAAAATTATATGCTAAACATGTATCACCACTTATTACGTGTCGTTGTTTGTAATGCGTCTATTCCTTTCAAATTTAATTAATGGTGTGATCGTATCTAGATGATGGGAGAACTAACCGACCTCCCCTTGTGTGAGCACCACGAGGGCCAGAGTTAGCTACGTTGGGAGAGGCTATTATTTGCAGTGGGAGATAGGCCTAGCCCCCCGTGCATGGTACCAATTTTCACGTACGCATGACCATTTATGTGTAACCTTTTTCAAAGAAGTTATTTTTTTAAAATAGCCCAACTTTAGCTTCAATTCAGCCGTCATCTTACAGTTCTAACTTACTGTTTCAACTTTCATTTTATTATTAATTTCCTGACCTTAAATTACTTACATGTTATGTATGAATATATTTCTTGTACAACATGTATTCCCCAGATAGTCTTGGTCTGCCTTTTGCTTCTATTTCTTAAATGCAGATAACGTTTTCGATTGCGACCTATTAGCACCAACTCACAATCCAATATTCTCATGTTTCTCTTTTTGGTGGGAGACTCAGTCTCATTATTTATAAATTGCTTTAGTATTCTGGGGTATGGCATGGGGATATATGTTTTTAGATGTTTATTCAGTATTAGAGGCTCGTGACTTAACCTAGTTGGTCTTCATAGTTTTCAGTCACAGTTTTTCATGTTCAATTATAGATTTAGACAATTCAGTATTTTTAACTATGGTTACATTTCCAACTATATTCAGACAGTTAACTTATCTATCCGACAGTTAAACACAAGATTCGGTTGATGAGTAATTAGAGTCGGGTACTAATCACACCCCTCCTCAGTTTGGGGGCATTATAGATAATTAATATTTGAGATTTAATTTAGAGCATCATATAATATTTTCTTTGATTACTTTTCTTTATGATTTTGTACTGTATTAATATTACTAGGTAATTGACATATGACGTTTGTTTTATTTGTGAAAAATAATTCTCATTGAAATAAGGACGATAGTCCCCTTCCGAAGTTGCGCATTTTGTTGTAGAATTAGGCATGCCAAGTGTTTGATGAATTGGCATATTAGCTTTAGGGTCGAGTTGGTGAAGTCTGAGTAGCCGTTTAAATCATGTGAATCAACCCGTGTAAAGTATGGTAGAATAGCACCTTTGTCGCTCGACCATTTGGTGTCTTATGTTCTTTAGGCCTTGTTCCTAAACACTATACAAATTAAGCTTTCCATTGACTATCTTTTCGAATGAAAGAACTTAAGGTCTAAACTACACGTATTGGGATGAATGCTTTACAAAGATGGTGTGTAATTTTAACTTTCTAACTTTATAAAAAAAATTTACTTTTTAAGGGATTTATTATTCTGGACTACTACTGGTCTAAAGATCCTAAAAATTTAAATTAAATGCTCGGATTAATTAACATGGCATTAGATCCAAACTTTCATAAACCTTTTTCCACAATTGCTTTTCTCTATCTATGATATCACTAAGCTTCTCAGTTTCTCTGAAATCTTCCACAAGTAGAAGTAATGAGATGGTCTTGGGCTGGAAATTGACAATACTATTTTGAAGTATTATCATTTTTAGTACGTGTCAGAAATTATTTATGTATGTTATATACAAAAATTATACAAGTTTTATATATTTTTTCGGTTATTATTTTTACAGTGGCTATATAGTGTCATTTCTCCTACTATTTTCAACTATGGGTTAATCCAAGCGGGTTTACATATATTTCAGTGGGCAAACTTACATTTATTCGGGTACTGACTTAAGAAGGATTAAGGAAAGGCATCTAATGCCAAGTTAAGGGGGCCAAATTCTTTAAAATTGTGAGAAATTGCTACTAATAATTGATTTAGATTTTGGTACAGTCATCAACAATTTAAACACTAGAAGAAAATGACAAATGATACAATCATGGAAAAAGTTAGTAGCATTTAAGTGATATGAGTAGATTGAGATGCAATCTAAATGTTAGTCATTAATCACTATTGGACGAAAGTTTTGCACCCAATATTTATACCAACCTAATAAATAAAGTATAGTAATAATTATTATTTTCTGAATTATGCGAGATTTTTTTTTTGGGAGAAATCAAGGTGGCAGTAGAAATTGTTTTAAAAGAATTTTCTGATGACTTGTTTCGTTTTTATGGTTGAATGAACTGTAGAACTAAAAGTAAATTTGACATTGGTAGAAAGCCATAGATGTTGTAAATGGGATAACTAATATTTCAAACTTTGGAGCATCAAATAATATTTTATTTCATCACTTTTCTTAATGATTAATCGAGTGAAATATACATATTTCTTATACTACTAAAGTTTTAAATTATTTCATCCAGTGTTGTACAATATGTTTAGAATTTATATGCTCATGTGTTATAAAACATACTACTAGTATTACTTAAGAGAAATTACAGTTGACTAAAAAAAAAGAAGATATTACAGTTGAAAATTAAATTTGAATTATAAAGCTAGAAAGATGAAATCATGGTTCTCTCCCCATTAATTTCATAAATAAATTTGTTTAAGAAATATTTTATTAATCTGATTCTTAAGTACTCCCTCCGTATCATTTTATGTGCCCGTATTATTATTTGGGGGAGTCAAACACTTTTTCTTTAACAATAATATTTTAAATAATTTGAATAATTTAATATGTTACTTTATATCAGTACTTTTTTTTTTATAATTATCAGTGTACAAATTTTATTTTTAAAAAAATGTATACCAAAATTTACATAGATAAATAAGTGTTTTGATTCCGTATTCCGAACCTCTTTACATAAATTGGGAGAGAAAGGAAGTAGTAATGTAGTACCCTCTCCATCCAAATTTATGTGACACATTTATGTTTTTAGTTTGTCTAGGAAAAAAATTCTTTTTGAAAACTATTTAAACTTAGCATTTCTCTTTTAATCTTAATTCATCACTTGTTGTCTATTTATTTGCTATCTTTTTCGATGCTGATTCTATTATTATTATGGATCTATTGTCTCTGAACCTAGAATCTCCCGGAAACAACCTTTCTATCCCTCCGGAGTAGGGGTAAGGTCTGCATACATTCTTACCCTCCTCATACCCCACTAGTGGGATCTTAATAACTTCTTGTTGTTGTTGTTGTTGTAATTCATCACTTGGTGGAACACATGTAATATGAAATTTCATTCTTTTACAAAGAGTACAATAACAACAACAATCTAGTATAATTTCATGTATGAGGTCTGGGGAGAATAGTGTGTATGCAGATCTTATCGCTGCCCCGGAGAATAGAGAGACTGTTTTCGAAAGATCTTCGGCACAAGTAGATGAATTCTTTCACAAAGAGTAAAAAAATAAAAGAGTAATTTAAATATTTTACCTATATTTGACTTATATGCCATTCCTTTAGCATTGCTGTCTATTAACCATCTAATTTTGTTGGGTTTTTCCTGAAAGGGTTTTGTTTGTCTACTGCTAAACACGAGAGAGAGAGAGAGAGAGTGTTGTTCTCTTCAGTTAGTTTAATCACACACAGATAAAGTAAAACCTTTCCCCCACCCAACACTCCCTTTTTCTTTATTATACTTATCTTTTTCTTCTTCTTTCCTCTTTAATTTCTCTATTTTCTTTTTACAAGTTAAACCAGAGAAGAGAGAGAGAAGAAGGAAACAAGAACTGGAAAAAAGACTCCATCTTTACTGTGTATTGTTAAGGGGGAAGCTTTGATGGATCTATAGATCTAACACTTTCAGACCCACATGGATTGTTATGTCTTTTTTCAGATCTCAGTCATTTTCAGTTGAAAAGATTCAGTAACTGACCAGAAAAAATATAGCATAATAAGGGCCTAATTGCATCAAAGTCTTATCTTTCTATTATTTTTTCAAGAAGGTAATTCTCTAAGCTGTGAACTTTATTTGATTTGTGTGCTTTCTTGGATTACTGTTAGTTTGTTCATTTGGGTATGTCACTATAGGATTGACTGGTTTTCAGTGTAGACTGTAGTGTGTAAATTTTCCCCAATTTGCTTCTTGTCATTGCTGATGTAGTCTGGAAATTGCTAGGTTGTTGGTCATGATTTTTTTTGATAAAGTAGCAAACTTACCTCTCGATTTTGATATTCGCGCTTTGATTCATGATTTGAAGCTTCCAATGAGTGTATATGATGTATTTGGACTTGTGCGTCTGTTCGGATTAGGACCCGAGGGGCTCAGTAGCATTTCGGCACCATTGTATGAAAATTGAGGAAAAGCCCAAAACCATACACCATGTTTAGCTTTAGAGTTAAAATAATACACATTCTTTAACATGGTGCACTAGTAATCCTTTTTCTTTAACATAGTGGTGCACTTTTAATCACAATCATAAACACCGTTATAAATTTTAACGGGACTTCCTAAAGTGCAAGAATTGAAGACTTCTTTATTCAAAGAATGCCCCACTCACAATCTTTTTAGCATAAAAATTGTCTCTCTGTCTCCTCCTTTCTTGAAAAGAGAGTAATACCAAGCAGAACAAATTAATTCAGTGATTGAGGATCACTACTCTTAAGAAATTACAATAAAATAAAATAGTCATAGTACAAGTCTTGATTGATAACAAGATCGGTCTTTAGAAGTTGAATAGAGCAACAAATTAGAATTCATGAAATATTTCTCTAATATGAATTTAAGCACAACAAGATTTCTTTTGCAGGAGCCTTTTTTGCAGCTTTTGTAGTTGCTTTCTCCAACTCAATCTCAGCAACAATGGCACCAATCTCAGCTTCCTCGATTGAGTTGCTTAAGCCCAACAATAACAGTAGAATTCCAGCACAGCTTCAAAAAAAAATAACAAAATTCCAGCACCATTTACAAAACCATCAATAACAACAACAAAAATTCCCGAAACAATTGAAGTAAATATAAAGAATGAGCCATTTTTACCCCCAAAAAATTATTAAACTTCAAAAGGTAGGTCACTTTTTTGTGTAGATTGAAAACTTTCCCAAACAAATTCTGGTCCAATTTCTACTTCGACCTGTCCCATTTGCTCCTGTTCCACTTCTCCATGTCCCGCTTCATCATATCCTCTTCTAACCTGAAAAAATAATCATACAACTTTTATGTTAGTTTAAGTTTACTAAATGAAAAATTATTTCTAACATAAAAAACAACGTTACATGTAGTTTGGGACGAACTGAAGAGGTAGTTTCTTCTTGTACAATATTATATTTGCAAGTCCTTTTGTTATGGCCAGGCTTGTGACAGATACTACAATCTAGAGATTTTTGCTTTCGTTTCATCTTTGTTCGACTAGCTCCAACTTCATCTTGTTCCTTTCTTCGTAGCTTTTGCATTCTTCCTCGCTTACTATTTCTCACAATCTTTGGAGGCAGAGGAGGAACTTTACTTGACTTAGGCCACAGTTGTGGCCCATTCATTGGAAGAATTGAGTTTTCATAAATTCTTCTATATATTTCCACCTTGTAACAATCATGGACATAGTCAAGAATATTATCCTTCTTAGCCCAAATTGCCGCAATAGCATGCTTGCAAGGGACTCCAGTGAGACTCCATTTTCTGCAACTACAAGATTTATTCTGCAAGTCAACTGCCCAATTGTCTGTAACTGTAGCTCCTAAAATTTCATAGCTCCAGTAATTAGATTTTCTAGGTATATATTCAGCAGCTGCAATCTGATTTTTGTGTAACATATCCTTGATCTTCGGACAAACATTGCCCAAATTCCATTTCTCTGCCTTCTCCCTATTAGCTAGCATTCTAGCCATGAGTAGATATCGTAATTTCTCCAAAAGTGTCACAATTGGCTTGTCTCTAGCATCAAGTATCATGCTATTAAATACTTCACACATATTATTTAGTAAGGTATCACACTTAGCATCTGAAGAGAAATGCGACATAGACCATTCGCTAGGATCTTTATCATTTAACCAAGTAGCAGCATCAGGATCTAACTTTAAAATATCTTCCATACAATTATTAAATTTACTCCTAGTAGTAGCCTTTGCAGCAGCCCAAAGTGCTTTTTTTAATGTGATGCCACCAAAGCCAGCCCTCTTGAAATTATTATGGAGGTGTCTTACACAGAACCTATGGTTAACATGAGGAAAAACTTCATTAAAAGCTTCAATAAGTCCTTTTTGTTTGTCAGACATAAAGTTCCAACCAGTCTCATGTATATTCAAGTCAGCCGCCAAATGATTCAAAAACCAAACCCATGTGTCTTTGCTTTCCTTTTCTACAATTGCATAGGCAACAGGGAATATGTTATTGTTACCATCCATGCCGACTGCAGATAATAATTGAGTCCCATACATTGGACCTTTCAACCAACATCCATCCACCCCTACTATTTTTCTACAACCCGCTCTAAAGCCAAGCTTGCAGGAAGCAAAACAAATATATATTCTTTGAAATCTTTGTGGCTCATTAGGGATCTCGTTATCAATGAACTTCATGCAAACTGTGCTGCCCGGATTTGTCCTATCAATTTCATTGCAATAATCCCACATTATTTTATACTGATCTTTAATGTTACCATCAATTAATGCAATAGCCTTCATCTTAGCTCTTTTAGCTTGAGATAACGTCACTTGAGCTCTTAGTTCAACGCTTACTCTATCTCTGAATTCAGCCACTTTCCAATCCCTGTTTGATCCAATTTCTTTGAGGTATCTTCTTGCAATGAAAGATGACGTGATTGTCCTATTTTCATGTGCCATTCCTTACAAGTATGTATAGGATTGTAAGTTTTAACCTATAAAGCCTTGTCTCTTTGCATTCTAGAAGCCATAATTTTCCATTTGCACTCTGGATGATGTATGCAACGTGCCTCCATTCTTACACTATCGTTTCTACTGGATATACTTTCCATTCTTAACCTCATGAGTTGCTACAGCATTCTTAAACTCTTGCTTTGTCCCAAAGATATATTCTAGACCTAATACGAGGTTATCTTCATCAGTCTTTGGATTGAACTGAGGAAAGTTGAAACTTTCAGTTTCAGAATCACTATCCAAACTCTCCATGTCTTCAGAACCAACACAATCATGATCCCCTTCTATATCAACTATCTTTCTTTTTATTTCGTCACTAAGGAGCTCCCTTTCTTCCAAAATATTTTGGTTCATCTTCTCATGTGTATCAACCAACACATCATCTGATAAACTAACCTTCGAATCACTAAACTCATCAGAAGATGAAATCTCACACATAAGTTGATGGTTGTTATTTTCTTCAATATTTGATTCAATTATTGAATCCATTTTATCCATTTGAATATAAGAGTCCAAGTGTTCAAAGTATATCTCAAGTACATTGTCCTTTTGGATGATTTTACCAATTGCAGAGGCTTCAAAATCTGTAGAGATTAACTTCCATCTATTAGAAGGCCTTTCACACTTGCGCCAAAAAGTTATTGAATCACTTACCTAGCCACATATCTCTGCCATCTTCTTGAACTCAGCAATATTCAATTCTGTGGCATTTATATAATCAATGTAATCTATGTTTCCTCCAACGTAGTGCTTCTCTGGTATACGCTTCATAATTCCCCCATGATATATTTTCACAGTGACAAGCGAAGCGTCGGTTATCGAATCTGAAATTACAAATAGAATACACCATAAGTGTTATTGTAAAGAAGAATAATACAAGATAGAATTGGACATTCAACATGGGCAAAACATTATATAGGCCCGAACGAAAAAAAACAACAGATAGTGGTACATGATACAATTTGCATGTATAGACGAACTTAATACAGATTAGTGAAATACAAGAAGGTTTAGCAAATTAAATATGCAGAACGCAAAGCTCACACCGTAACAACAAAATTCTTCAATATGAAAATCGAGAGGAAAATCTCACCAAAAAAATGAGGTGATTCTCTTCCAGTGTTGCGCCTTAATAGCATTGTTACTTCCTAATATTTGATTATGTTGCAGATGCAATTAGGGCTGGGTATGATTTACTATTGATATTTTGGCTCCAAGAAAGGAGGAGACAAAGGGACAGGTTTTATGCTAAAAAAGATTGTGAGTGGGGCATTCTTTGAATAAAGAAGTCTTCAATTCTTGCACTTTAGGAAGTCCCGTTAAAATTTACAACGTTGTTTATGATTGTGATTAAAAGTGCACCACTATGTTAAAGAAAAAGGATTATTAGTGCACCATGTTAAAGAATGTGTATTATTTTAACTCTAAAGCTAAACATGGTGCATGGTTTTGGGCTTTTTCTCTATGAAAATTGGAACATTAGGATTCTTAAGTTTGACTTGAGTCTTCATTTTTAGTTGAGCCTTTGGATAAGTCCAATATAGGGTATTTGGACTTGTCGGGATGTGTTCGTGTGAGTTGGGCGTACCTCAAATAATTCCAAAGGGTATCTGCTATCTGCCACCAGCTTGCCAAGGTTCGGACAGATGGGAAGAAATCACCTAGTAATAGATTTGAACCTGAGATCTCATGGTTCTCCGCCTAATTCATTGTCTATTCTTCTTTGGTGTTGAAATTGTGTTTGGACTTTGTAACTTTCTGTTTTTACTATGTTGATTTATTTCTTATTGGTTAAGACTAAGACCTTTCCCCAATTGTATTATTCTTGAAGTAGTTGTATAGCTGAACTTCTTGTTATATTTGCTTGTTTCCTGTTTGCAGGATAAGAGGGTAATAACCAAATTAGAGTTTAGTTAGACTGCTCTTGTGTCCATATTTTGGCTGTTGAGGAATTGGAGGTAGAGCAGAGGTGAAATGAAATGAGGGATGTTATCAAGGCTGATAAATTTCCTGAGGGCCTGTTGGCGGCCATCATCGGACCATTCTGTATATGCTGGTTCGGATGCAGCTGGACGGCAAGATGGACTTTTTTGGTATAAGGACAGTGGTCAACACTTGATTGGTGAGTTCTCAATGGCAGTTGTACAGGCCAACAATTTGCTGGAGGATCAAAGCCAGATCGAGTCGGGCTCTTTGAGCTTGCTTGATTCGGGCCCCTGCGGTACGTTTGCTGGGATATATGATGGTCATGGTGGACCTGAAACATCACGGTATATCAGTGATCACCTCTTTCAGCATCTCAAGAGTAAGCAAACTAGACTCTTTTTATTGACCAAAGTACTCGTTTATCTATTGCATTGCATCAATCCAATGTAGTTTGGAATGGTGTTGGTAAGCTAGTTAAATGCCACGCGGTATATCTTTTAATAAGGAAAATTGCAGGGTGTTTTTTTTTTTTTTTTTGAATTTAAAATAGGGATAGTTACATTTTTGGGCCGCCCATAAAAAGTAATAGCCGGCAAATATATATTTTGTATATTAAGTATAAAGTATATGTACTTTGATATACATGTTATATACATAATCAGTGTATATGTTTTGTATATTTGGGCTAGCGCCCTTAATTAATTTCGACCAACAAAAATGAAAAAAACCCTTTAAAATATCTAGCATATTAGCTTATTTGCCATTTGAATTAATTAGTCTGCAACTTTTATATTTTAGGGTTTGCAGCCGAACAAAATTGTATGTCTGCGGATGTAATACGAAAAGCATTTCAAGCAACAGAAGAGGGATTCTTTTCTCTGGTTGCAAAGCAATGGCCAACGAAGCCACAGATAGCTGCTGTTGGATCTTGCTGTCTTGTTGCGGTGATCTGCAATGGCACCCTTTATGTTGCGAATGTAGGTGATTCCCGAGCTGTTTTAGGAAGGCTTGTGAAGGCTACGGGGGAGGTTCTTGCGATCCAGCTTTCAGCTGAGCATAACGCGAGTATTGAATCTGTCAGACAGGAGTTGCATTCAATGCATCCAGATGATTCACAGATAGTGGTTTTGAAGCATAATGTATGGCGTGTCAAGGGTCTTATTCAGGTATATCTCTCATAATGTGAGCAACTGTACTTTAGTCTATGTTGTGTGGACTCTCCAGAATGCCGCCGCACCAGTGTCGGATCCTCCAAAAATACTCTATATCGACGCACATCCGGCGGGATTTTCGGAGAGTCTGAGCAACATAGACTATAGTTGTGTTTTCGTGATTTGTGGATAGAGTTGCTTATATGGTTTCTCATTCTTGTTATTATTTCAGAGGTAGACGTATGGTTAGTATCATGTTGAGAGTTCAAAGCATTTTTATAGTTGATCAATTAAAAGGTGTGTTACTTATTGATCAGTGTATGCAGTTGTTTGTATGTGATCTATCATCTCTCTTCTAGTCTTAGCAACAAATACAAGAACAATTATTGCGCTCTTTTATCTGCGTTCAATCAGATTCTTTTATACATGTAAAGATATTTATGAGCCGTGACTCCTACTCTAAGGTGGCTTTGACGAAGATGGACATTTAAGATTTCTTGAACCCAAAAGAGATTATAAGTCTTTCCTTCATTCCCTATATTGGCTGATATTTTGATATTCTAAACTCTGTTTTTCCTTCTCTATTAGTTTGCTTTATTAAGGGATGGATGTTGGTTCTCAATGACTCAAGTTATTAGTTGATCTGCTGCTCACTGCCAGTTATTGTGCTGTTTCTAACAAACTTATCTTCAATTTCCAGAGAAGGAAACGGCCATTTTTTTTTCTTTGGTAGTTTCATTTAAGTACAATCAGACTCTGTATAGTCCACATTAATTCATGATTGTCAAAAAGGAATTCTAATTAAACCACCAAAGGTAGAAGTGCCAACTTAACCAGAAGATAATAAGCAATCGCTTTTCTCATTTGCTATGCTGAGAAATAATTTGCACCAGGTAACAAGCAATCGCTTTTCTCATTTGCTATGCTGAGAAATAATTTGCACCAAGATCGAAACAGACTTATCCATAAAAAGGACAGATCAAGATAGACCAAATAGCCATTGATGATGCACGAAAAGACAAAAAAAGATTTTATGGTGAGCTAAGAACAACCGGCACTTCACCACTTAATTAATGACCCAAGCATCGGTACATGTTTCAACTTTAAGCAGCTACATGTGCGTAAAACTACATTTATTTGAAGTAACAGTACTAAAGATCAGAAAGGTCAAAGGAAAGCCCGTCTTTTGTTTCTTCCGTGGGGTTTAGATTACATTGTAGTTGCACTATGTGCATGAGATCCTTTGTTTCAATCCATTCTTCATTCTGGTTATTAAACGTGACAGATATAGATGTCACCCTTTGTCCTGCTTTCTATACTTTACATGGATTCTGGACTTCATTGAAATGAATTTGCTTATTTTCTGCCCAAAGCTATTTATATGGGTTTCAATTTTAAATTCGTCTTGCAGATTTCGAGATCTATTGGTGATATATACCTTAAAAAGGCTGAATACAACAGAGAGCCTTTGTATGCGAAGTTTCGGTTGAAGGAACCTTTTAAGAGGCCCATACTGAGCGCTGATCCATCAATTACAGTTCAAGAACTCGAACCGCATGATCAATTTCTCATATTAGCTTCTGATGGTCTTTGGGAACATCTTAGCAATCAAGAGGCAGTTGATATAGTACAAAATAACCCCCGAAGCGTAAGATCTTCGACTATAGGAAACTTTTAATTTTCCCCTTTCTCCTTTACCTTTCGTTTATTTATATTTCTTTTGCACGTATAAAGTCTTCAACTGCAAATCAACTCTAATAGAATTGTGTTGCTGCCTTTAGGTGGTGCACTTTTCAAATATCGTGTAAATGAAATGTTGGGTTAAACATTTCCTGTTTCTTTGTCTTTCCGGATCATGTTTTCATGTCTCCCCCTAGCAACACATACCAGGTAACTCTGTCCACCAAGGCTTGGACAGATGGGAAGAAATTGCTCTAGTGTTTTTTCCTCCGCTGGGATTTGAACCTGAGACCTCATGGTTCTCACTCACTTCACTGACCACTAGGCCACACCCTTTGGTGCTATTGTATTGCCTTATCACACTGATATAATTGATATGGCTCCTGCTACTCACTTATTAGCAAGCTCGTCTAGAAATCTCAAGTAGTTTCAGGAATGTCCACATTTTAGAAAGAACAAAGTAACACTTCTAGATCCGTCATTTGTAGTCTTGAAATGAAAAAATATATGTTGTATGAGCACTTCTGAGTACTTCAATTTTTTTGTCTATTCTTTTGTCCATTTTTTCTTTGGGGTAAAAACATAGATCGGTACTAGGGTTTTTGCTATTGAATGGCGTGTTATTCATGCTACACAAACATGGCATTTAGATACTCATGAGATATACATCACTACTCACTAGTATAATAATATTCAAGGCAGGGTAGCATATAGTGTCGAGAGATTTCAACATTTCAACATTTCCCCTTGCATTTTATTATGAAACAAGGAAGTGGTTGCAAGGATATACCAAAAGAATATACCAAATTAATTACGTTTTAGGCGTGTAAATCCACTAAAAGAATATACCAAATTAATTACTGAATTTTTTTGTGTGTAGTTATATAATAATAAATATTATTGTGTATTACTCTTTTGCTTATTGGAAGAAATGACATGTTTCCTAATTTTCCAACCTTCAGGGAAGCGCTCGGAGGCTTGTAAAAACTGCATTGCATGAAGCAGCAAAGAAGAGGGAGATGAGATATTCTGATCTGAAGAAGATCGATCGTGGTGTTAGGAGGCATTTTCATGATGATATCTCAGTCATAGTTGTGTTTCTTGATTCAAATCTTGTAAGTAGGGCGAACTCGCTGAGGGGCCCCACTTTATCTCTCAGAGGAGGTGGTATGAACTTTCCAGCAAAAAGTTTGGCTCCCTGTGCTACTCCCATAGAACTCGGTACCACTTAAAAACTTTTTTACTCTGTTGTATACTCTGCTGTATCCACGAAAACTTACTTGTGAGAGCATCTTTGTAGTAGATAGAATTAAAGAGAAACGATAGAAGGTGCACTAATTTATTCTTTTGATGTACAATGTTATGTTTAACTTGGATCACCGGTGCCTTGTTTAGCTTTCGAGCAGCAAAGAGGAATGAAAGAAAGAATTTCTATAGAGATTCTTTCTCGAGTATGAATGTGTCTGCTTAATTAATATTCTCAACTTACACCCTTTCAATTCTTTTAATTTCGTCTTGTAAATTGTGTAAAACTGATTTCGATGAATGAAGTATTATTCCTCTTGTCGCTTTTGTATTCTTTTCACTTCATATTTGCTTATGTTTTCTTGAGCCGAAGGTCTATTGGAAACAACCTGTCTACCTCCACAAGGGAAGGTTTGCATACGCACTACCCTTCCCAGATCCCACTATGGGATTATATTGTTGTTGTTGTTCCATTTCCTCATATTGTAGTCTTGTTGTACTTGGTGTTATCGTCGATAACTCAGAATTTTGAAAGGCAATAATAACAGCGGGTATGATATACTATCAAAGCATTTCGTCTTGCAGGGGACAAGTAGTTTGCTTGTTTTTGGGAGATTGATTCTTGAATGTTGGATTTTGGGGACACTATTGTGTGTATGTAAAATCTGGTAGTTTTTAACTACCATTTTCCAGTAAGTTGACAATGTCCAACAATGTAATGCGCTACAGGTTGTTTAATAATAACATTATTATGGTGTCTGAAAATTTTCCACTTGTAAATGGTAACATTTTCAGGGTGACTAATGATCTATTCTGGATTTATTTTCTCTTGTATGAAATGGTCACTGCATAAAACCGGATAATCATGGAATCGTTGACAAGAGAGAGTTGCTCCGATGGTCAACACCCCTCACCTACAACTTCAGGGTTGTGGGTTCGAGTTACCAAAAGAGCAATAACTCTGATAAAGGGGACAAAAGTGGAATAAAAAAAATGGAATCGGTTTTTTGTTGCTAGAAGATCAAAAATTCATATTTTAAGTAGCTATTTATACTAAAAACATATTTTGAAAGGCCCTTATTTTTTAACAGCGGTAACTAGTTTGCACATATAAAGATTGTTGAATCCTTTTATCCATCAGGTATCATTAGGGTAAAAACAAATATTTTGCATATATAAAGATTGTTTAACCTTTTAAAACAAGGTACGTTTTTAAGTGTAAGAACGAAGATGGCTCAAATTGCAATTTTTTGATTTTCTCCCCTATAATTATTTGGCTCCGAATTGGGTGTGTCGGAGGCAATGAGGTACCTCTTATTTGGTTTGATGTAGACACCTAATGCGAATAAAATATTTTTCATTAAGAACAAACTTTTCTTTAATGGAAGCTTTTCTTGAACTTTTCCTCCTTTATTTATGTCTGTTTTAACTGAATAATTGAAGAGTGAATTAAAAAGATTGTAGCCTGACAACTGTGGGAACCAGAGGCGGAACTATGTGGTGGGGGTCACATGACCCCGTTAGTCTCGGCAAAAATTCTGTATATACATATTATATATATATATAGATTGTAGCCTGACAACTGTGGGTACCAGAGGCGGAACTATGTGGTGAGGGGTCACATGACCCCGTTAGTCTCGGCAAAAATTCTGTATATACNTTTACTTTTATCTCTTTTTTTTTTTAATTTCATTTATAGTTTAGTACTAATACACAACATTCAACTTAATTAATTTTATTCATTCTCTTCCCATAGCACCCGTTTTGCGAAGAAATCTCTGTTTCTCTTTATATATATATTCGATATTTTTTTTCTTCTTTAGAATTTACAGTGGTGCCCCATCGCGCTCAAATCTAGGGTCCGCCTCTGGTGAGTACTATGTATATTGATAGGTCAAAATCGAGCCTAATCAAGTTTTATTTCCCATTATATACTACTATAATATATTATAGTGGACCAATCTGGAAATAACAAGAAAATATAGAAAAGTAAGCAAGACTTTTTAAGTTTAAAAAGCACAATTTGAAAGAAATAGTTAAAGACAAAATTTGAACAATATAGAAGGGAAAAATATAGCTAAAATAGCAAAAGTTTAAAGATTATATGGAGGGTCAAAGTGATATTATTAAAGCTAATTTGAGATATTATGGAAAAAATGATGAGATACTTATTTTGGTTCCAAATGAAAAGCAAGGTTTTGGTTTTTAAACATTTTTATTTGGTTTTCAAAAACCAACTTCATTTTTAAAATAAACACTTTGGTTTAAGGAAAAAAGAACTTTTTTCTGAAGTTGGTGTACAAAAAGAAAGCATTTTTATTACATAAAATAGTTGTCCTCAAAGCTCCTGTTGCAAAAGAGTAAAAGGCTTTCCCTCCAATTTGCCATTTTACTTCCTATGTTCACGGAGCTAGAGCTTCGGCAATGGGTTCGGCTGAACCCGGTAGATTTAGTTCAAACTCTATATTTGTCTTAGGAAAATTATTGAATACATAAAAATTCTTACTTTAGAAGCCACTAACATAAAATGGCTAGAACCCCGAACCCAATAACTTCGAATCTTAGCTCGAGCTCTGATCCCTCTATGGACCATCTCATGCCATCAACAAGTAGTACTACTGGCATTCCCAACATATCAGCAAAACACTTAAACGTAGATTTTTTGGGGGAAAAAACACAATCTGAGCGACAAAAGGCTGAATCTTAGTGGATAGTGACAGCAAGGCTACTCTGCACTAAAAGGTAGAAGTTCTCTCCATTAGAAGTCTTCTAAAACAAAGTGTATAAACAGCCAAATAAGGAAACAGACTAGCATTGTCAACTAATGAACTTTTGAGCTGTTGAAAGTTGCAAATTGAAAATGACAGTATTTGTTGAAAACCCTTTATTTGTAGCAACCAAACCATGCAATTGCCTCATAAATTGAATATCACTAACAGCTAAATACAACCTATCATCAGTTACTCTACCAAAGAAAGATCTGGTTGAAGCCACTCAACTAAAAGTTTAAACAAAAAAAACTTCAACTAAAGGTTAATTACATAGAAAAACTTGCAGCATCAAATATCCAGCTATTAGGGGCTATTTCAGTAGTGAAAGTTAAGCAACATAACTAACTATTGCTACTAAAAATTAAACAATATTGGCCAAGCGCAATACGTCTTGCATTTGGTAATTAGGTCAGTATAAACCTATTGTTACATGAGGTGTGCACAAAACATAACCGCATTGATACAAAAATTACTATTTAGCTGAAGTTGTGAGCACTATATAAAAAGGGCAGCCCGTTGCACTAAGCTTCTGCTATAAGTCGGGTTTGGGGAAGGGCCTTACCCTGCATTTCTGCAAGAGACTGTTTCCACGGCTCGAACCCGTGACCTCCTGGTCACATGGCAGTAACTTTACCAGTTACGACAAGGCTCCCCTTCTGGTGAGCACTATATAACAGCTCAAAATTCTTTCTACTGATGGTAATCAACTAGAATAACCGTACTCAAAAGTGCATATCTGCCACTAATTACATAGGTTTCCTCGAAATATGGTACGTAATGACAAACAAAGAGGGAAACCCTACCAGCAAATATGAAGAAATTAAAATAACCTTATATAATTATTTACCGAGTACAACCACCTACAGATCCCTTCTGCATAACGGACAAGAGCCGTGTCTCAGCAGCCATGTATCGATGCACAGTAGGTGAAACATGTGATGACATTGCGGCAAACATCTAACAGTTTCCCTCAGTTGGAAGTCCTGAATACATCATAAATAACACACATCAATCTGAATCATAAGTAATACAAACAGAAATAGAAATAGCAAATAAATGTTCTAAACGAAATTTACCTGTAAGCAGACTGAACATGAGACTCTCTCCCCTGTATCATCCACATTGTTGTCGTTGCTAATTACAATCTTTGGGATCTTCTCAACAAAATCTCCAGTCAAACCTTTTGACCCGCCTGTATCGAAAATGTTAGGGACCTCTTCATATGTAGTTTCAACAGCTCCCATCTGACTTTGCACTGCACTTAACATTGCTGGACCAATCCGCTCGCGAACTAGTCTACCACTTAACAAGCTGGCTATTACATCAATCTGTACATTTCAAACGATCCATCAATTAATCATACACCTAAGAAGTGTGAAAAATAGCTTGACATCCACATACAATTATTCTCATTCTCTCTTTAACTATTGGATCAGGAGTTTGTTTATCAAATATACCGGTATCCCAAAAATAGAAGTTACAAAAGAAGTTATGTTGCTTACCAAGTAAAGAAGACATCCGATTCCAGATTCATCGGATTGCCATAGTAATAAAGATGACTCAAAGACCTCAAGGGAGAAAACAGCACCAGAAATGGCTCCAACGGCGGCACCTCTAATAAATCCACTTTCTGTTTCTTGACCTATCAAAGCTCCTGTCATTGCTCCTAATAAGGTGCCCACTGCAAAGAAACCAATTCCATTCATTATTACCTTCACATTTCAACAACAACTACTATCACGCCTCAGTCCAAAATAAGTTGGGGTCTACTATATGAATCCTTACAAACCATCTATCTCCAGTTAAATTCACGCAACATTACACAGAATAAAAGTATATAAAAGAAGTACTAGAAATTCTCTATATCTTTCTATTTGCATAAAAATCTTTGATATGGATAAAAGACCCCTAGAAAGAATAGGACATAAAGTAATCGTACTAACATGACGAAAACATATCAACTAATTGATCGAATGTATAGATCTTTTTTTTTTTTTTCGTTTTGTTTTATCTTTTAGAGTTAGAAACAGTAGCCCCTTTTAACATCATCAGTTAAAACACAATCACCAAAAATTCTGCAAATCCCCATATCATTCTTGTAATAGGAAACGAGACTCAACCTTTTTACTGCAAATTTTAGAATATGTTTTCTTTTAGTCATATAACTATCAGACTTTAGCTCATCAACTCAAAACGATAACTAAAACTAAACAAAATATACGGTCAGACCTCTCTATATCAGCATCCTTATATAATAGTCATTCATTATAAAAGCCAAATTTTCTCGGAACAAATCTTTTTATGTTATGTTATAATATATGTCCTTTATAACAAAACTTCACTATAGCATCCAAAAAAATATCGGAACAGGTACGGCTGTTATAGAGAGGTTTGATTGTACATTCAATCAAATTTTTTCACCTTTGAATTTACTCAATCTCTTCTGCTATATTCTTGAACTGTACAATACTCTAGCCTACCTAAAATACTCCAAAAAATACTACCTTTTTCAATTATTAGCAATATATCATACCCTAAATTTAGGTTAAAGACACAATCAACTAGGCAGCCAAGATTGACAATTAGAATAAAGAATTCCAAATACCCTTATTACACATGTGCAAACCCCTTAACAAAATGCATACACAAATGAAAATTCATAGATCCTCAATAGGAAAAAGAAGTCAATTTGATACACAATCACAGAAAATTGAAAAATTACATAAGAATGGAAAGTAAATATACTCACCTAATGCAAAGAAAAAGGTGAAAATTGCAGAGAACACATTGCCAATAATTGCAGATACAGCAAATCTGAAGAAATCTTTAGCTCTATCAATCAAATCCCTCATAGAAAAAGATGATACAATTGAAACAGCAGCAGAAGCTCGAGCTGGGTACGCGTAAAAATCCATTCTTTTTTACTTTTTTCTAAATTCAAGAGTTCTTCCTTCAAAATGGCTGTTTTTTAAAATATAAAAACAAGAAAGTTTAGGCAAAGAAAAACAGGTATAGAGCTATAAACCAATGTATATATTTGTATATGGTGCAGTTGTAAATATAAAGAGAAGAAGTTAAGAGGGTGATATGAATGGTGAAAAGAAACCACAAAACCAACTAGCATTTATAGCTTTGTTTCTCTCTCTCTCATGAGAGAAAACAAAAGTGTAACAAGAAATAGTTTAAATTATATATATTGTCAGTATAAAAAATTTAAATTGTTAGGTCTTTTTATGTGTTATAGTAGTTAATATGTTTAATAAAAAAATTCCAAAATTTTTCATTTTAAGAGATTGACAGGTAAATATTCTTTGGTGATCTGATAGTATGTATAACTTAAATCGGATAGAAAGGGCAGTTCGATTGCACAAAGCATCTCGTATTCAAGTAGGGTTCGAAGAAGGGTCGTTTAAGGTGTGTGACGTAGACAACCTAACATAATGCAAATATTAATAGATGCTTCCATGGGCTACACCCGTGACCTGTAGGTCACACGAACATAACTTTACCGTTACTCCAAGACTCCCCTTAAACTGGATGAGAAAAAAGATTTTTTTTTTTTCTGCAAAACAGTTTGATTGAATGGGAATTGGGTTATTTTGCAAAAATAGTCAAAAGGGTACGGAGAGAGAAAGGGAAGCTTCTTTTTGACAAAAGATTGAATCTTTGCTTGAGGGTTTAATAAATGATTCACCAAATTGAGGTCAGATACTCACATTAGTCACATGCAATAAGCTTCTGATTGTCATTCATTTTTCTTCCTTTTTAGTTAGAGAAAGGGTCTTGGTTTGTTGATTTTTCTCCAACTCTTTCTTTAGTTTTCTATTATTTTTATTTTCATTATATTCAAATGGAGGAAGACATTTCAAAATCTAAACAATATTCATTATTTAATTCTTTCGATCATTCATTTAAGAAAACACTTGATTTTGAATTTGACCTGAACGAATATATCTTAAAACACCTTTCTTATTCTAGCTAAATCCTGTATGTTCATGCATTGACAGATTTAGGGGCGGAAGGGGTACCCGATTCCCCTTTACCGAAAAATTACACGGTATATATAAAGCAAAATTTAATTTTGTATCTTTATATAATTATATTTTGAATTCCCTTGACACGGTCCAAAAGCATAGCTCATTGGTCAAGGCATTCAAAACCTTTATCACTAGCTCATTTCTAATGTCCACAGTCTCTTTTGATTTTTTAACTTTTTTTTTTGAACTCCTTAACAAAAATCTTGCCTCCGTCACTATATAAATGTAAAAACAAAATTTAGAGATCATCTAATTTTAGAAAATTCTAAATTAGTAGAAAAAGATTAAGTTATTAGTACTATCAAAATGGTGAACCTAATACAAAAAAATATAAAAAGAATATTCATATCATAAACTAACTTAGAGTTCAACTATAGTTGATCATTTGTTGTGTACGTGTATATTGTTTAGTAGTACTACAAGTATATTTTAGTAAAGGGGAGACTTTGCAGCCGTGGTTGGGTGAGAGATGGGTAGATGTCTGTGTACTTTTATGACAGAGATATTTCTTTTTGGAAGGTGGGCCCTCAGAAGGAGCATTGGGATTGGAACCTATCATTATTATGTCAGATAATAAGAATATTGTGTAGTCGTTTTCGAAATAATAATTAAAAATTAATATTATTTTTTTGTATACATACATATATATATATCTGTACGTTATGTATAAAATATATATAAACTTTATATATATTTTACGGCTACCTTATATAAATAGTTTCAGCTACAGGATCTTTATTGTTTTTTTTCTAGTTTTTTGAGTTCGGTTAATTCGGATTTGCTTTGCCTAAGGTTCATTAAAGATTAATACAATTTTTATTAGAATTTTTTTTATTCGTAAAATTTGAATTCGAACCGTTGATTAAGAATGAAGAAGTTATATTCATTTCCTCCTTAGCCTTGATGGTTGCTTGTGATCGGTGGCAGAGCTAGAGACCAATGTGTGAGTTCGGCCGAACGTAGTTGCTCTGGTCTAAACTTTATATTTGTCTTAAAAATTTATTTAATATATATAAGTTATAAATTTAGGAACAAATAACTTACAAAAACTAAATTCTGACATCGTAAATTTTAAATTCTGACTCGGTATCTACTTGTGATGAGCTTCCTGTGCAGTCATCTATGCACTGTTTGTTTTCTCTTCTTCCACCCCCCATTGGACGGCTTCTTTAGTGGCCCCTAATACGAAGAAAAAGAGCACAGCTACCCTTCATTTTCAATGTTTCGTTGCCGAAAATTAAATACTAGAAGAGAAATACTAAAATTTGAGTTTTTCTTTTAATTTTCTATTTAGATACTTGATCTAAGTCAACTGCAATAATGTGAATGTTAATTAACTATATATCAAGCTTGAACTATTTCGTAGCTACACTTGGGAATGATAAAAAATACAAGAGTACTAATTAGTAACATTTTATATAGAGATTTAACCTAAGCTTAAGATTTTTAGTTTTTCTTAGCTGTATAAATAGCCTTAGATTAATGTGATTTGAGCGATATGAAAAACTTAATAATTACATAAGTAATTTGTCAGCCATTGGATAAGAGATGAAGAAATGGAATTACATAACAAAATCCAAAATCTTACCTGCCAATTATATGTTTTAGTTTATATCAAAATAATTGTTATAAGGTCAATGCATGAACCAAAATAAGGTAGGTAAAACCAGAGCAAAAATTAGCTGAGGCCTGTGATTGATTAGTATTAACATAATAGCCGCAGAAACAACGGGGTACATTACAGTGGGCGAGTGAAAACTGGTTTTTGCCAAGTATGGCATGGATTAGATTGAACCAAGGTAAACATTTATCCATACTTACTGGTCCAATTAATTTAAACTCCTGCCACGTAAGATTAATTAAAAAGGAAAATATTTCTTATCGAGTTAGTAGTTTTTGCACTACTGACCCGATAAGATTTTATTTAACCATCTGACATCAGAAACCTATTAGTCGGACTAATCTAATTCGCGTTGTATATGATCCATTTAAAAGGAAAATGCTCTATGTCACGAATTTTTAATTTATATGACTTGATCCCGAGACATTTGGTTAAGGGTGGAGAGATTTAGGCCTCATTTGTTTTGTTTTTTTAAGATTAAGACGTCTCAATCTGAATATACATCTGAATATCAAGATGTGTATTAAGATTAAGACATATAAATCTGAATACAAACCTGAATATATTAAGATGTGTATTAAGATCTGAATACTAAATAATTAAGACTGTTTGATTTTTAACATCTTAATATATAAAATTTATTTTTATTTGAAAATTAAGAAACATAAAATTCAAATGAAATACTAACTAATCTAATATTCTATCAATAAAATATATAGTTTATTAAAATATGATAGTTGTTGGTGGTGATGGCTAACGGATGAATGCCGACTAGAGGCGATGGTTGATGGTAGTTTTGGTTGATGATGGTGGTTGACGCTAATAGCTAGTAGTGATTGGTAGTGGTGGCGATTATGATTGATGATGGTAGTGGTGGGTGGTGATAGTTAATAATGATGGGTGGTTGTAGTATGTTAGTTTGTATGAGTCCACCAAACCGTAGAGTACCTGGTCCTCTACAAGATTCTGCTGAGAATGCTAATAAAACAGTACGCAAATAAGGCAAAGAATTTTTACGTGGAAAAATCCCACACAAGGGGATCAAAAAACCACGACCTACACCTGTAGGCTTTTAACTTCACTAACTTGTAAATAACCAATTACAAGCCACTTTGCAATGACTCATATTGCAAAGGATTTACTCAACTAACTTGTGATACTCTTACCACAAGCCACTTTGTGACTTCCTAGTTACAAAAGCTTTTTCTAACTTATGATGCTCTCACCACAAGCCACTTTGTAACTCTACAATTACAAAGACTTTTTCTTATGACTAAATCTAGTCACAACATAAACTCAGGGAGTTTACGGATTTACAAGAGAATTCTTAATCAAACGCTTCTAGGTAAGCAGTTTAGGAGATACAATAAGTACAATGACAAGGTTACAACTCAACTAGGACAACAACAAGCTATCTTTTAGGAATTGGTCCGTAGTTGCGTTCAACCTTGATCTTCAAGCTTGTGAGGATTGATTTCTCTGTTTTTGTAAGAAGCTTGAATGAGAAACAGAAACCTTCAAATGATGTTTTGTATAAAACTCATTTTAGGTACATCTTGATCACATCACTTGAAATAATGTGAGTACTTTATTTGGTTAGAGAATGAATAGGCGCTGGAGACAGTGCAGTGCGGCAGAAATAGTGCCGTCAGTCACTTCATTTCCAGTTATGTCCAATTGACTTTGTACTGCTATGAGGAAACCACAAGAGTATCAGGTCCTTGTGTGAGTTCCTAGCTCCTGAAGTTGTAGCAGTTCACCTTTAGCTGGAATGCATTAAAGCTTGCAGTAGTCCAAGTAGGTCAGGTTCCCTATCTGGTTCTTAAAAGTAAGTTTGTTAGATCATCAAAACATAAGGCAAGAATATTTAAAATATATCAATTTCCCTCCTTTTGATGATGACAAACTTAACATTTATAGAGTGGACTTAGAGTAGTAAGAACCTGTTTAAGTATCAGAGTAACACAGAGTCCCCCCTGAGACTATGCCTTATCGTAAAAAAGGAACACAAAGTTCCCCCTGAGACTATGCCTTATTGTAACAATAGTTCCCCCATGTGTTCCCCCTGAGTATTATTTCCCCCCCTTTTGGCATCATTAAAAAGAATAACAGCACAAAGAAGTCAAGCTAAGCTAACATATGCCACATATGTGCACACAATCATGATAGAGAATAGAACACTGAAAGATAATACTGACATAATAAAATGAGGATTAATATTAATAAAGTTTTAATATGCCTCTGCTTTGAAAAAGCGAGAGGCAACATTGGACTTGCTAACGGGAGCAGTAGTATTTCATCCCAACCACACAAAAAAAAAAAGAAAACACAAACATCCGCCAAACCATCAAAAGAAAAAAAAACATAACAAACATATCCAGAAAACTGGTCACTGAAGGGGTACTTAGGGGGCACTAGGAGTAAAAGGCTTGGTAGTTGCAGGAAGTGTTTGGAGAACGAGGTCTA